TTTAACCACTAGGCTACCCCACCGCCCCCAGAATATATCAAACCCTGGACATCCAGTGCCTCCAAAGCAATATCAATTTGTTTAAGTTTGGGTGATTGGTAACACGAAGAGATTGTGGTTAAAATCTGGCAAATGTTTAATTAAGTCAGGATAAGGAGGAGAGGATCACTCAAATGCTACAATGCACGTGCTCTTCGTGATGTTTGTGGACATGCTGCAAACAAAGGTATAAAGGTAGACATTATTGAAGACTGCCATGGAATTTCCTGGCAGAAAGGCTGCCATCAAGTCAAATGGACAAAAGCAGGGACCATTCCTCTGTTAACCATCGTCTGGAGCACAGATTCCAGATCAATTAAAAGGTCAAGAATCGACCTCCTTAATCAGACCAAGATCAGCCACAAGAGATGAAGACCATTATGTTATTCTGACAGTTCTACTGACTGAGTTAGCTTTTTTCGCTGCTTGTAGCAACATCCGAACATCACGGCTGGTGACACCAGAAACGGGCTTCACACGTTGTACCAATGTGGGGAACCACTACCAGGTCTTCAGCGTCTTTAACCACTACCCCATTGACAGCATTAACGTCAACGCGCCAACAGGAATATCGCATTACGAGTGAAAGACTATAGTTTTATATCGCTTTTAGCAATATTCCAGCAATACCACAGCGGGGGACACCAGAAATGGGCTTCACACATTGTACCCATGTGGGGAATCAAACTGGATCTTTGTGGTGGGAAAGGTCGGTGGGGTAGCCTAGTGGTTAAAACGTTGGCTCGTCACGCCGTAGACCCGGGTACTCACATGGGTACAATAAAACCATACTCACTCACTCACTCGCTCACTACCCACGGGGGAATCGAACACAGGTTCTCGGCCTGACGAGCGAATGCTTTAACCACTAGGCTACCCGACCGCCCCCATTGTATTACGAGTTGCACTGAGGGCAGCCATGTATACGAATGTGAGTGCTCCATCAGGAACCGTCCCAGAGTTGCTGTCCATCTGTATGACCATCTGCACCGGAAGTGCAGGCCGATTGCATTTGGACTTCTTTGTGGTGATCACATCCGCTGGAACTGGCAGCAGTGGTCGCAAGTTTTGTTCTTGGACGAGTCACGTTTCTGCATGCGGTTCGTGCGACAATGTTTCGTCACGGGGGAGAACGGTTTCAAGATATCAATAACCAAACCGTGCCGGTTTCGTGGTGGCTCAGTGTTGGAAGGCATCTGCCTGAAACCCGGAACCCCACTTACCACGGCTCTGGCAATGTTGCAGACATACTCTACGGGTACAAGATCATGCTTTGACTCCCATGGAAGCTTGTGCGCACTCCTGGATGACGATGCTCAGCCCTGCAGGGTACGAGTGGTGGCCGACTTATCAACCGGGGGCCGTGAAAATCCAGTTAGACTGGTCTTCAGCAACCCATGCTTGTTGTAAGAGGCGACCAACGGGATCGGGTGGTCAGGCTCGCTGACTTAGTTAACACATGTCATCGGTTCCCAATTGCGTAGATCGATGCTCATGATGTTGATACTGGATTGTCTGGTCCAGACTCAATTATTTATCGACCGCCGCCATATAGCTGGAATACTGCTCAGTGGGGCGTTAAACAACAACCAAGCCAAAATCATCAACCGGGATCAAGAGAATGCAATGGCCAGCCTTTCCCTAAAATCTGGCACCGACTGAAACCCCGTGGACGAAGCGTGATCCTGTCACCTCCACAACTCGATCAGTGGCTGCATGGCGGATGACAATATCTCGGGTAACTTATAGGACTCTCGTAACGTCCGTGTTCAAACCGAATCCTATCAGTATAATCACAACAATTTCTGCCGACTGCATTTGGACTTCTTTGTGCCCCATACTAAAACCTAAGCTTTTGCAAGGTTGTTTGGAGTAAGTGATGCAGAATGGATCCAGGGTGGTTGTCATAAAGGAGTAGGCATTGCTTTACGTAGTGTCCGTTTGGCTCAAAATCGGACTGATGAATTGCAATCTAACTCGAAAACTACTAAAACACTGATCATAATCAAAACATCAGACCAACTCTGTGATTTTTTTCGCAGAATTTATGTCCTTAAAAACTATCATTAAAATTTTGACACAGTTCACTATTTGTTACGAGGGAGGGCTGCAAAGAGAGAAACAGCCAGGTGCGCGAGAAAGGATGGCGACAGCACAGCACAGGGTATATGTTTAAATAACTTTGTCTGCACGTGCTCCGCGTACACCTGACTGTTCCTCTCCTTGCAGCCCTCCCTAGTAACAAATAGTGAACTTTGTCAAACCTTTAATGACAGTTTGTTCAACAACTTTTTTTATGTTTAGGACATAAATTCTGCGAAAAAAAATCACAGAGTTGGTTTGATGTTTTGATCATGATCAGTGTTTCATTGAGCATTATATGTTTGGTAGTTTTCGAGTTAGATTCCAATTCATCGGTCCAATTTTGAGCCAAACGGACAATAGTGCCCGCCAATATTCAATGTAGGGGACATCAGAAATGGGATAAGCACAGTGTACCCATGTGAAGAACTGAACAGTGATGAGCAGCTTTGACCGTTGGTCACCTCACCATGACTTCTCACAAGTTTACATAATGGAGAGTGAGACTTTAGTTTTACGCCGCCACTACCAATATTCCCACAATATGACTGCAGGGGGGACACCAGAAACGAGCTTCACACATTGTTGCCATCTCCGCGTGACGAGGGAACGCTGTAACCACTAGGCTACACTATCCCACCTGATGGAGAACGAGTAGGGGTAAACATAACTCCATTTGTATCTGCTTAATGTGGTAGAATTGGTCTAGTGTTGACAAACGTACAACCAGGGCGAGCCGGGATTCAAACCCACAATCAGAAGATTCTGGCATACCCAAGGGACGCAACTTTGCACAGTTAATTGTGGTGCCCGAGACAATTCGGTCACCTCTGCCCCTTAAAGAGTAAAAACATATTCGAACAGAATTACGAAATAAACGAAGACATTTTGGTGTTCATTAGTTTTTATTCAACATTTCTATAATTCATAGTTACATGTGTAAATATATATACACGTTTTAGTAACATTCTGGTTGGCCTGTGGAAGGTGGTAGCACCATGGACCATCCATAATACTGCAAGCTCATACACCAGCTAATGCACTGCTCAACTTAGTAGGGATATTGCAAATGTTTCAGATACACTTGATTATTTAGGACATACATATCCATATATATACTCATCAAAAAAAAGTTAGAGAACGCTAGTTTTCATCACGACTGTCAATCTGACATTTCAAGACAGATTACACAGCAAGGTGTTCTTTACTTTGTTTGATTAGCATAGAATGAAATATCTGCATCCCTATCAAATAATGAGAAGTATATTATTATGTAACATAATACATCTGCTGACAGGAAAGTAGTTTATATATATACATATTAACCGATCTGATTGTCCCATGTGAAACATGGTAATTGGACATAACAGCCTTCATGACATTTTCCTTTTTCTGAAATTGTTACCTAAATAAGTGAAGTGTGAGGTGAGTAAACTCCCTAGAGGTGCCAATACTAACTTTTTGAACTGTTTTCTCTTCATTGCCAGCAGCATATAGCTCAGTTTAAATGCAGCTAAACATGGATATGAGACTATTTCAAGGTATGGTCTATTTACTGGACAACCATTGACATTCTGAGGTTAACTTTTCAACAAATCCACGGGCCTATCCCGACCAATGTATGAATGCCTCGCCTGACATTGAAATGCTGGTCAGCACTGTGCATGTTATTATATTCCCATGTCATGATTTAGGGATTTACTACCTCGATGTAAATCCTAACCAAGCAGAGTGTACATACATACCTGTCCAATATGCATACTTGAGTTACTTTACTGACATCTGTAATGCATGCCAGGAATCAGAAAAATAGTGACATTCAAAAACATCAAAGAAGCCACGAGCAACCAAAATTATGTGTTTCAACAATGCTTATATCAAAACATATGAAAATGTTGAGGGTATTTGATGACATATCAACCTTAACCGATCCAGGAAATAAACAGGGCAAAAAACAATGTTGAGTTTTTATGTGTCTGTAGGAGATCCTAATATTTCTTTGCAAATAATATTTACCTGGATCAAATCGTAACAACAATAAGTTGACTGTTAGGTAAAGAGTGAGTGAAGATAGTTTTACGTCGCTTTAAGCAACATTCCATCAATATCACGCGGGGAACACCAGAAATGGGTTCACACATTGTACCCATGTGGGGAATCAAACCCCCGGCCTTAGCCTGCTAGGGAAAGAAAATATCTTCTGTCACTGCTGCAAACCTTTTACCTTTTAAGGAACAAACATACCTAACCATGTTCAACAAGAGCTGGGATTAAATTACATTTGTGACGTCATTCCATTGTCTGCTCGCTCCATTACTTTTCAGGAATGGAGCGATGTGTACCAGTTTCAAAATAAAACCTTCATTTTGTCATTTTGACATTTAATTTTGATAACAGAAATATTCCCAATACTTTGAATGTAATTTAAGTAGGGTAATATCCTCATAACTCTCCATTCCTTATTAATAAAGTGCCTCGGCTCCATTATTTTTAAGGAATGGAGAGTTACTCAGACATTACCCTCCACATAATGATCGTCTTAGCTCAACGCTTTGTAGAATGGGCAGACACTTTTTTGGTAGTAATGGCCCTAACACTGTTCCATACATGGGTTACATGTTCATGTTAGGCCAGGTCAGTCTGATTACTTGCTTCACAGACCTTCCACCCACTTTATCCCTTTTCAAACATAAGCTGAAAACTCAACATAACAAAAGTGTAATGTGTGGTAAGAAATAGAACCAATGGTGAATAAAACAAAAACAGAAATGTCAATATAACAAAAACAAATAAAACCCTTACCCTACCATGAAGAATCCCATACTATTATTTAACATACATCAATTGAAAATGGCAATATGAAACTGTTCAACACGCCAAACTGTTTTCAGTTTATTTATCAATATTCATCAAATATTCAACAGAGCACTCAGACCCAAAGATGCACAAGTAATGTCAAGTTGTAAACTATTGTGATTGTACATGATATCTGAAAACCTTTTCAGATCTGAGGCCCAATATCAAGTGTTTGAAAAGCTTAAATATCAGTGCGAGCGAATATGATTTTTAACAATTCTCTGCAACATTCCATCACTTGGGGGATACAGAGATGGGCACAAATGAGGGGAACTGCACCTGGGTCTTGAGCGTGACGAGCAAATGCTTGAACCAAGTGGTTACCCGTCAGAAGAAATATTGCAGTATATTCGCTTGATTTCACATCAAGTGCACATGCTCAATCTCTTGCTATTTTCTCTAACACAATCTTATAAACATAAGATCAAAGTGCATAGTGTCAACAACAGCCCCTGATTCTTTATTGTACATATAAGATAACAAGCAACACAAAAATTCTCTAAACAACACATCTTCTGATACTGCAAACTGGCCAGCTATGCCTACATAGACTAACTTTTGATTTATCAACTTGAAACACAATTGATTCAAATTATCACATTACGAACTATGATCAAAATTACGTCCATCAATCATGTTTACCTTCCATTATGACTCACGCTATGTGACATTGATCCATACAGACACACATATCGCTAACACGTTATGCAGCTCTTCACAAATCTATATGGAATTGCACACAAGTAGGTGAAACTTTATACCATCATATCCACAAATGGCAGATTAGAAGGAAGCATTTCGACTTCAGCACCAAGACAAAGAGCCCTGTAAGCCGGTTACACCATTTAATCCGGAAAATATTGCCTTATTTGTTATCTTTCTCATCTGAGGTTGTAAAACACTTTATAAGGTCAAGGTGAAGGTCAGCTGTCGTGTTCACAAGACACAATGTATCTTTACCTATCCTTATACCAATGCCCACCTATACAAATTCAGTGAAGAAATGATATGTCAAGGTCAAGACAATGAAGTTCATATGATAATCAAGGTCAAGGTCATATATGTTGACCTCATTCTCAGTGTTGCAACACCTTGTTCATAATCTCACGTCTTCGCATGCTGCACAACCTTTACCACATGGGGTTGGACTTGGCTCGGGGCACCAGCGTGGACATCTGCCTCACTGCCTGCACCTGCTGCGCAGGCTGCACCGGCTGAGTGTACATGCTATGAAGGTCTGACGCCTCAAGGAGGGAATACTCAATCTGACAGTCAAACGTGTGCTCGAAGGATTTCAGGAATGGATAGATTGCATCAGATATTTTGATTGTCTTTCTCAGTTCCTTGGAAAGGGATGTGACTTCTTTGTCTTCAATGCCACAGGGGACTATGTGTTTGTACCACTCCAGGTCTGTGTCGCAGTTGACGGAAACTCCGTGGGTTGTTACGTACCGACTACCATGCACACCTGCAACAGAGAAACATGAAAACAACCGTTACACATGTTGAACTTTAAACAGAACAACTTCAACACAACAACGTCCGTAATGGTAAATACCTGTCTTGAAAATGCCGTATAGTTATGTTGACTCCATGGCAAATGTAATGATAAATGTGGAATAATTTTCTTCCACAATAAGAAACTTTACAAAAACATTAATCTGAAACATGATTATATCTGACCAAGATTTTCAATCTTGATTATGTTTGTGTTCAATTCAGGTACTGGTTTTAGATATTTTAACTTTTATAATACACTGGACTGTTCATACATCTATCACTTCTGTACCGGGTTTCACTATTAATAAACCTGATTATATTTATGTTAGATTTCATTGTTGATACTTCTCATAACTGAACTATAAAAGTATTGTTTTCCCTTCATGCATACTAGTGTTGGGAATTGGTTGAAATCTCATAATTGATGATTGCTTCATTACAACGAACAATCATCGATAAAAATTGGTTAGCGTCAATTTTCAGATTTTCCTATTCAGGTTGTTATTACAGATATGTATAACATGATGCACCTTGCTACTTTAAAGTGATGTTGATATATCATGAACATAAACCTTCTGGGGTCTTCAAGAAATATTCAGTCATGACTTTTCAGTTAGTGAAGCAAGTTTTCTAAGAATTAAACAAGTTTTCAGGCCCTGACAACTTCGAAGATATGTTCCATTGTCAAGTGTTTCAAAGACTAAAACAGCAGTTCCAAAATTGTTTGTGTTCGATTAGGAGAAAATGTGATCGATTGCTTGGTCGTTTGGTCACTTCGACCAATCTTCGATTATTTCAATTAATCGGAACACCACTAATGCATACCTCACTGATTCTGTGCTTGTTTAGTTTTCTTTAAAATCACTTTCTTACATACTAGAAAACTGAACATGTCAACAATTCTGTTTCTACGCTGAGTATGCTTGACAAATTTCTCTTAAATATAACTTAGTATTTATGACAAGTGTGTAAAACTTTGTTGAAATATTGACCCATGCATGCTGTCTGAACAAGTAAAAGCACAAGCGATGCAGCGAGTTGTTTTCAGAATATTTAAAAACTGCAGTCAATGCTGTCACAAGGAATCCATGGCATCATGCAAACAGTCAGAATCATCCACGACTCACCGAGTTTCACATAATCATATTCAGCACAGATTTCAAACCATATACACGATCTGCTAGTGACCTTAAGGGAAGTCGAAAGACGTCAGTGATTTCTAAACAACTAAAATGTCAAAATCAGTGGAAAGTTGTTTTCCAAACTTATACCCTAGGCGAATTTTAAAACACATTCCAGGAAACCTCTTCACAAGCTTTCTTTTACACCGACCTTAACCTTGATTTTCAGTCAACCATGTCATTCTCAAAAAGGGGTAGACATATTTAATTGTTAAAAAACCCAACTAAATGCATGGTTGAGGCAGTGCAGACAGACATACACACGTTAGGTGTCTCTGTTTATGAAAGGATTCTTTTGGCAGCCTCACTTCAAATGTGCCGAACAGTGTGACAGAATGGGTGACTTTCATCACCATCAACAAACCTGGAGTAGTATATCTGTCATGCTGCATAGTCACCAACAAGAAATAAATTCAGGTAAGTACGTCAGTAAATTTAGACATCAGCTCAGTGAGGTGAGTGAGTTTAGTTTTATGCTGCACTCAGCAATATTCCAGCTATATGGCGGCAGTCTGTAAACAATCGAGTCTGGACCAGACAATCCAGTGATCAACAGCATGAGCATCGATTTGCGCAATTGGGAACCAATGACATGTGTCAACCAAGTCAGCGAGCCTGACCTCCTGATCCTGTTAGTCGCCTCTTACGACAAGCATGGGTTACTGAAGATCAATATTCTAACCCGGATCTTCATGGGTACTCAGTGAGGTGAAATGGTGCTTAATGTCACATTGAAGATTATTGTACCTACATGTCTGTGTGTTGGGCACTCTGTCAGTTATAGTACTACACTACTGCAATACAAGGGTGCAGTTGAACATGGATACCCCATTCAGGCAACACTGACTCTTCATCCAACCAGTCCTTGTTCCATCCCCTTACTGCCAAGCACCAGGCAGGATGACAATAAGTACCCTCTTTTAATACATTTGGTACCATGTAGCCAGTGAAGGATCGAACAAGACCTATGACTCTCTGAGTAGGCACTACATCTACTAGACCATGGAGCTGTTCCATCACCTTACTGCCAAGCACCAGGCAGGGTGACAATAACTATCAGCTTTTAATATTTTTGGTATCATGTAGCCAGCAAAGGATTGAACCTGAGACCTTTGACTCACTCAGTAGAAACTACATCTAATAGACCATGGGGTCTACGTATATATAGATCTTACATACAAACATAGTGAGTGAATAAAGTTGTACACCACTTTTAGCAATACTCCAGCAACATCAAGGCAGGGACACAGGATATGGACTTTGCACTGTAGCGACATAGGGAATCGAACCTGGGTCTTTTGCGTGATGAGCAAAGGCTTCAACTACTGCTCTACCATACAAACATAATGCACACTGCATCCACTTCATGGAGAAATCATGTCATAACAGACTTAGCGTTGATCCTAACTGATGGCTGTCTCAGTCCATCAGACATGTCAACACCACTATTGGCAAAGAAAAATGGCATTGATAACTATCATGTTAGGGTTCTGTAGTTTTGAGTGTAGGGTTCTGTTGTTTTGAGTGTAGGGTTCTGTTGTTTTGAGTGTAGGGTTCTGTTGTTTTGAGTGTAGGGTTCTGTAGATTTGATTGTAGGGTTCTGTAGATTTGAGTGTAGGGTTCTGTAGTTTTGAGTGTAGGGTTCTGTAGTTTTGAGTGTAGGGTTCTGTAGTTTTGAGTGTAGGGTTCTGTAGATTTGAGTGTAGGGTTCTGTAGTTTTGAGTGTAGGGTTCTGTAGTTTTGAGTGTAGGGTTCTGTAGTTTTGAGTGTAGGGTTCTGTAGTTTTGAGTGTAGGGTTCTGTAGACATGTCAACACCACTATTGGCAAAGAAAAATGGCATTGATAACTATCATGTTAGGGTTCTGTAGTTTTGAGTGTAGGGTTCTGTAGTTTTGAGTGTAGGGTTCTGTTGTTTTGAGTGTAGTGTTCTGTTGTTTTGAGTGTAGGGTTCTGTAGTTTTGATTCTGTAGTTTTGAGTGTAGGGTTCTGTAGATTTGAGTGTAGGGTTCTGTTGTTTTGAGTGTAGGGTTCTGTTGTTTTGAGTGTAGGGTTCTGTAGTTTTGATTTTGTAGTTTTGAGTGTAGGGTTCTGTAGATTTGAGTGTAGGGTTCTGTAGTTTTGAGTGTAGGGTTCTGTAGTTTTGAGTGTAGGGTTCTGTAGTTTTGATTCTGTAGTTTTGAGTGTAGGGTTCTGTAGTTTTGAGTGTAGGGTTCTGTAGTTTTGAGTGCAGGGTTCTGTAGATTTGAGTGTAGGGTTCTGTAGTTTTGAGTGTAGGGTTCTGTAGTTTTGAGTGTAGAGTTTTGTAGTTTTGAGTGTAACATTTCATTACTACAAATAATATTCAGCTTTGACCTTTGAATGTGTTTATTTGTATGATTACTGCAATGTGAACCCAACATGACTATTTCAAGGAACACTGCCTTCATTAAATGGTCTACTGGTACTTCTTCATTCAAGACCATTTATGAATGCGTTTGATGCAGGTTTGAACTACATGTCACAACACCTGGAGGTGGGAGCCAATATTCATGCAGGTCTGACGTCTGAGACTTTGGTTGAATGCACAAGCACTGGTAGAGTGCTCAAAAACCTAGAAACCTATCAAGGGTGATTATTGTGTCATGAATTTGAAAAATTCAGAAATATATCTGAATCGTCACCATACAATTTCAGTTTTCTAACATTCATCAGTATTCCAGCTTTATGATGGCTGCCTGTAAACTTTGAGTCTGGACCAGACAATCCATTGATTGATACTGTGAATGAGGCATCAGGGCACGAAGACCAACCTTCAACGAGCCTATCCAATGAGTAAGTGAGTATGATTTTATGCCTCTTTTAGCAATAGTCCAGCAATTATCACAGCAGGACACCAGAAATGGGCTTCACACATTGTACCCATATGGGGAATTGCACCCGGGCCTTTGGCGTGACGAGCTAACACTTTAACCACTAGGCTACTCCACTTCCCCTCGGGCCTATTCAACGAAAGATTGAGTAAGATTTTATTGATTCTGTTAAGGCTGGGTATTGATATATATTGGAGAAGTAAATATTTGGCAAAATTGCCAAAAACGAAATTGAAAGAAATGCAGATATTTAACATTATGGTGAACAGTGATACATTAATGCATGAACTACCAACAACAGACTCCTGTACACAGGTTAGAAGCAGTCTTTGAATAAAAACAGAATTTTGTCTGCTATGTACGTAAATTATAATCTTATTTCATCTCAATACCTTATGTTTAACTTTATATATGACACAATTTTTAGATCAATAATCAGTAATAATTCTTCCCAAGATATTTCCAATTATCATTCTTCTTAGTCGACCCAGTGTTCTATACAGATGAAGTCGTCAAGCCAGCATGGATCAAAACTTATTCAGGGCCAAACTCTGAAGTGAGTGAGTGTTCTTTTATCACTTTTAGCAATATTCAAGCAATATCACAGTAGAAATGGGCTTCACCCATCTGAGGAATCGAACCCGGATCTTAAGTGTGAAAAGCCATTGCTTTAACCACTGTGCGACCCCAGTGAACCCCATCATCACTGGAATACACTGCAGCATGTTATAAGCCTCAATACCATTTACACAACAACATAGCCTTGAGTGTTGCTTCAACACTTCTATGTTAGTGGAACTGGAAATTCTAACAGATTTGCAATAAATTCAAAATGTGAGTTTCAGTGGGACTAAATTTGTTAGGAACAGGAGGCACAAGAAAACGATACCTTTTTTTATTACGGAAGCAAAAGCTGTTTGGGTGTCATGAAAATTGA